GTTAAACAAAACTGTTAAATTTATGGTTTGATTTCTATTTGAAGTGGATAGAAGGCCTCTATAGTAAGTTAAACTAGTCTGCCTTTGCGTTCAGTATTGTGTCCTTTGGACTCAAACATTGAAAAGTACTCTTGGATTGGTGGCTAACTTGATGTTTTGGGGTTTATGAAAGAGGTAAAATCTGAATTCAGTTGCCTAATGTTACTCCTGTTGGCTTTATTAAAGTAAATGTAATGAAACCAAGTTAAGACAATCTGTTGGCCAACTTGTGAAGTACTGTGCTTTTAGGCTGAAAGCAAATCTTAGTAGTAGTATGTGTGCTAGGTACTTCCATGGCACTGAATGCAGTAATAGTGCAGTATTGTTTTAAGATTTATTTTATACTTACTTGCAAATCACATTTTGCAATTAATCTGCTAGAAAAATGGCTAAATTATTCCAATTATAATTAAAAATCTCTCGCTGCCTCTTGTGTTGATAAGAAGCTTTGAATGTGGATTCTAAAGCTTTCAGCCACCCAATCCTCATGTAGATTCTGATTCAGGAAGGGATTTCTGCACATGCAGAGATAAGTCTTTACTGAGATAGCAAAGCAACTAGACAAGGAGAATTCTCACAAGTATGAAAGTTATAAACATATCACGTTTATGTGCTAATTAAATTTCTATGGAAAATTGTTTTAACACCTCAGCAGAAAGCAGGGATGATATCAGTGATAGAAATCAAAGATAAATGCATCACATGCCTTACAAAAGTTAAAATGAAGAGGCACAAAATGCTCTGTCTAGACTGAACATGCCTCAGTTGTTGTTGGTGTTTTGAAAAGTAGCCAACTTTCAGTCTTGAATTTCCATATAGCGATACTCAGTTGCACCACTAATAGTTAATACTTTAATTTGTGCGGTGCTAGCAGCATGCTAAGTGTTTTACAGATAAGTATGGAAACTATCCGCTTGCCACAAACAGTTCTGTGAGCATGAACAGGGTCTAGATTTTAGAAACCTCTCTTCTAAAGCTGTTTTTATCATGTAGTGCCATAAACGTGCATGTTTATAATACAGCTGCATAAGTCTACTCCAGCTAAAAGCTTAGTGTATAAAATCATCTTAAGCTTTTGCTTAAAAAAAAAAAAAAAAAAAGATTGACTTCAATTCAGATTAATAGGAACAGATTTAAATAATTCTATCTTGGAAGATTTGACCCTGATCTGTGGTACTTATCTAAAGATCACAGGTAGAAGGAGTGACCATGAAAGGTGCTTACTGACAGTGAGGTATTTGAGTAGTGGCTAAAGAGTTTTAAGAACAGAATTCGATGTAAAGAATTTTTAGAGGTTTATTCTCCTGTACCTGTGACCTTTTAAAGGGATCTCAGTCAAGGGTGACAGTCTGCAAATTGTACTTAAAACTTTCATCTCACAGCAACAAAACAGTGCATACATGCATTGCCCCGGTGGCATCTGATGCAATCAGAGCAACAGAGATGTTTGTATGGGTGTTAATTGAATTAGGTTACTGGCCCTGGATGGTATAATTGAGATAGAAGTTCATAATTAGTAATAGAGATGAAAAGTCTGTATGATCTTGCACTGTTTTGTTTTAAAAGGCATTTACTGGTAGCTGCACTGGAAGATATACTGGTACATTCAGGTATGGAGTTAGACATACAGGTAAATGTTATTAATGATAACTGTGTTAGTTTAGCATTGTTGTTTACATACAGTTTGATAAGTAGGTGATTGGTCTGACATTGTAATATCCAAATAGAAAATCCTGGATCTTCAAATATAATATTTTGAGAGAGGAGCTGTAGACTCTGAATCAGAAGAGCTGTCACCAGGGATCATTTTGAGGAATGCTTCCAAAGGAATTTTGATAGGTTAAGGAGACTGCAGCATCCAATGCTGTTAGAGAGACACACCGTTTAAATAACTCAATACATAGTCCGAATCCTAAGGTTAGAACCAGTTACTAAAGGAGTTATAACTTTAACTAACACTGGGATAGGCTTAGTATGTCTCATGTTACTCACACTTTGGTTAGTAGCTCGTGCTCTGCAGATTGCCTCTTGCAAATAAAAGGTAGGATTGATGTATAAAAGCAAACAAACCAAGAAAAAAACCCACCCAGATTTAATGCTGATTTTCTGTTCTAGTAAGTTTTTAGCTCACTTTCCACTTGACTTTTATTTTGTGGTGGCAGAATGTTTACAAGCACCCAGGAATACACACATCTTTCTCCTATGACAGGAAAAGAAGGGTGTATGCGAACGGGATTTTAGTATCCTCAAAGTGATGTCAAGAACAGGTTAGATGCAGCTGGTGCAAATTGGGATTTGACTACTACTACCATCTGACCTTTTCACTTTGGCCTTTTACCTCTCTTCCTCCCCATCCTTGTTTACCTGAAGCAGTTGTCCTGCATTTGGGAAGGCAAGCTGTTACCAGCAAGGGTAGGATTCTGCTTCATTATCTGTTTCTGGGGATGCTGCAATGAAACATATGCTATATCTGACCATCCAGAGGCTGTGTACACTTGTGGAACCCTCTTTGTATCCAGTACTGATTAAGAAGCAAGTTCGCCCTGCCATTGGCATAACATCTTGCACAACAGGATTTTGTTTTAATATTTCCATGAACAGAATTTTTTTTAAAGAGAATTTGTTATACAAAAAGGCAAAATATTATCCTATCAAACCCCCTCTCTCCTACTAAAGGAAATTCAGGAAGATGGAAAAAGGGTTACCAGATTCCATTTAGTCCATCCCCTTAGACAGTGCATAGTGCTCCTTACAAGGCTTTGTCCTGTCCCTTTACAAAAAATGCCAAGAAATGGTACTTTTGTTAAAAGTGCCAAGAGCCCTATACTGTGGATATGTTATCAGTCCAAGTGCCATGTGCATTTTTATGTGCATGCAAATTTTACTGCCTTGTAGATTAATCATTAGAACCGTATTTATTTTTCTGGAATCAATTCATTTCCATCATTTCCAAAAATCCTTTGATGGTAACTAGTATTCCAGATGATAGGAGGTGGGGGTGGGGTGGTAGAAAAATAACCTTTTTCAATCAGACTAGGAAGGCAATTGAGAGTTAGCGAGGGGAAGAGATTCAGGGAGGATGTTCTAGAGAGGTCATGGTGTTGGGCATAGAGAGAAGAATTTTGCATTAACAGTTGAAAGTTTGTGTGAAAGGGAAGAGCAGGTTGGTGCTGAAAGAATAGAGGGGGTGAAGAGCAGTCTAGAGAGAGAGACGAGATCTGACAACAGCTGGAGCAAGTCCACGGAGGAGAGGAAAATCAAGGAAGATAACTTTGACTTGATACTGAAATATATGATCAGCCTGATTTGAAGAACAAGGTGATGAATTGTGCATTCTGTGCAGGTGAGCAAGGGCTTGGGGGTCACAGGGAACAGAGTGGCAGTAGTCAATACAGCTTGTTCAGCCTGGGTTGATTGAAAAGGGAAAGAAGAATCAGTAGCCAGAGTGAGGGATGTCTGCCTCCCCTCCCCTATTGCCTTGAGGAGAGATGGACTGAGCTGAAGATTCAAAATTAGAACCCAGATTTGGTTCCTTCACTTGGCAGTGTGGCTAGACAGAAGGCCTGAGCTCTGTGATGCAATAGTAGAGTGGGTAACTTCAGCAATGGTTTGTCTGGGGCTTTGCTAGACATCTTATTCCTGTAGTAGGCTTTTTCAGTAGACTCTGTGTTTTGATACTGTGGTTCTCAGCCTGGTTTTGTAAAAAGACTCAGTCACATGTGGATTTTGTGCTGTCACTCAGTCCTGCACCAGCTGTTGCAATTGATCTCCTTGGTGAATTTGTTTTCAGTGTCTAGAGCAGGGGTTCTCAGGACAAATTATTTGGTGGCATCAGAGTGCTGGTGGCCATTCTCACACTTTTTCCTAAAATACTTACTAGCTTTAGGAAAAACAAACAAATATGCACATATACATGTCCAAATTATTGTAATTTATTTACTGCTAGCTAGTAAGTCTGTTGTGAAAAGTGATATTAATAAACATACAAGTATCACTTTTCACAGCAGACTTACTCAGCCCTGGATGGGAGGTCAGGGAAGGCGGACTGGAGCCTGAAGCCCCACAGCCTGAGTTCAAAGCCCTGTGTCTCCAGCAACCAGCACCAAGGCAGTGCACCCAGGAGCAACAGGGAGGGGGAGGGGCCGCTACTTTGCCTCCCCCACATCACAGCCGGGGAGACTGGCTGCAAGAAAAGCCCCGGCTGGCCGCATTTGAGAAATGCTGGTCTAGAGTTGTAAATACACCCAGGTTTCTTTGGTTCCTTGTTTCATTGGTGCCTGGTCTTACGGTTCTGTTTTTCTTCTAATTTGAGCCATGTGCGATTGTTCACTTTGCCAGTTTTCTCTCTGGATTATTGGTTCTGTTGAATAAAATGCTTAACTAGATATTGCAGGGAAAAGGTTTCCAACCTTGCAATGTAAAAACAGTAAAATAAACTAATCTAGAAATATCATTATTACCCTCTCAATAAAGGCCAAGCTAGAGTATAGGCTGTGTTCTTTCATTTTCACAAAATTTCCTTCACTCGCTCAGTCCCCTGCATACGATGCCATATTGCCCAGTTACTCCCATTAAATCCTTTTGCATTAATTGCATAATCTGACATGAGGTAGGTATGGTTTAAATACTTGCCAAAAATCCTTTGCTGAATAGATACTTATTCGTCTCTTGTGAATGCCAGATGGCTGTCTAGAATACTGTTACTTCAATGTGGAGACTCCATTCACAGCAAACAAAAAATTCTAGAAATTGCAGATAACAAAGACCTATGAAGTCTTCTAGCCCATACCGACAGGCACATATATGCAGGATTGTTCCTTGCAATATTTCCTAGTGCGTAAGCCATACTACTTTAAAATGTACCCAGTCATGTTCCGACTGTGCAGTGTATTGTACAGTGGTTGAACATATATTTTTTTTAGAAAATGGTCACTTGCTTATTTCTGTTCTTTGCCTTCCAGTTTGCGGGAGCATGGACATCCGGAATAACCTGACCCGGTTGAATAGGCTTGAGAACTGCACTGTGATCGAGGGCCACTTGCAAATATTGCTGATGTTTAAAACCAAGCCTGAAGATTTCCGTGAGCTCAGCTTTCCCAAACTGACTATGATTACGGACTACTTACTGCTCTTTCGGGTATATGGCTTAGAGAGTTTAAAGGGGCTTTTTCCCAACCTCACTGTGATTCGAGGAACTCATCTCTTCTTTAACTATGCTCTGGTCATTTTTGAGATGGTTCACTTGAAAGAGATTGGCCTTTATAACCTGATGAACATTACTCGAGGTGCAGTGCGGATCGAGAAGAACAATGAACTGTGTTACTTGTCCACAATCGACTGGTCTAGGATTTTAGACTCTGTGGAAGACAATTACATCGTTGCCAACAAGGATGACACAGAAGAGTGTGGAGATGTGTGTCCAGGAACTGTGAAAGGAAAAAGCAACTGCCCATCTACTGTAATAAATGGCAATTTCATTGAACGCTGCTGGACCCACGATCACTGTCAAAGAGGTAGGAATACAGAGCAAAATATTGTTTTGATTTTGAGAATGCTCTGCTGGCAGCTTTTGCACCATCCTTGCTGCCATTCAATATGTCTAAGTACTAATATATATATTCTCTGATAAGCTGCTACCTTTTATTTCAAATGTGGATTTACATTTTTCTTCAAATTTAAAAAAGAGCACAGTGAAGAAAGTTTATGGCATTTTAATTTTTCAAACATTTTCTTATTGCACAGCTTCCTTTTTTAAAAGGACCCCATTCTCAAATCGCTAATCATACCCTAAGCTGCATAGTCAGCTTTTTAAACTGTTCCTGTAATTTTTTTTTTACCTCTCTCCCCAACCCCACCCCTGGTTATGTGACTAATTAATGGCCATTTCTTCAAGATCCCCCTTCCCCCAAATAACATCATTATCCACCTGTCATGTAGCTTCTTTATAAAGAAAATTACTGAAATTTTAAATTTGGAACCAGTTTAATGATCTGTGCGTATGTGCACGTGCTCTTCCTTCAAATGAAGAATGTGATTATATATAATGTTTACATTTCAACTCTGTATTTGCATGGTAACTTTAAAAAGTAAATAGACATTTAGTTTGCTTGCTTGAAAAGTCTCACACACACACACACACACACACTTGCATATTTTCTTTTCCTTTTACAAAACTTGGTCAAAATATTTAGAGTGGCAACACTTGTAATTGACATCCGACTTGAAAAACATACTTGATAAGTTGTATTTTAACTTACTTATCTTTGAATTCAAGAGCTCTGCAATTGGTGTTCTCAGTAGGAATGTATATTTACCTATTCTCTGACGCCTGCCTGCCTCAAGTTTTTGGGTTTTTTTTTAAATTAATTGTTTTTGATCAGTCATAAGTGGTGAAAGTGTTAACAAACATGCACACTAGTCTCCTGGTAACTAGAGCAGAGATTAAATGACAGTTCTCGAGCTGAATGTGTTACTGGTCCCTTGCTGCTTCTGTTCTTGTGCCTCCACAATAATCTTCAACCAAGGTTGCCTTAAAGTGTGTGATTGTTTTGCTAAGCTTAAGGTAAGCTTGTGTGAATTGTACTCTGGTTTTCGTTTGTCCAGAGAACCCCTGGCAACTCCTTATGCCATAGATATCAGTGTCTTGAAATCTGATCTTGAAATCTGCATTTCTGGGGCTTACTTGGTGACCTCAAACAACTATTTTTTTAAACTACTGAGGCTGAGACGAAATGCAGTCAGTTGATCTGTCAAAGTTCTCAGTAGGATCATTGTTTTGGAATAAAATAAACCTTGCTGAGGTTTATATTTGGAGTTTAATAAATTAAACTTAATGCAGGTTCTTCATTTTGGTATTTGGTGCGTAGATGCTAAGGTGATGGGTGCTTTAAATCCGTGATTCTCAAACTTTTGTACTGGGGACTCTTTTCACATAGCAAGCCTCTGAATGCAGACCCTCCCCCCCTTTTTAAATTAAAAACACTTTATATAACACCATTATAAATGCTGGAGGCAAAGCGCGGTTTGGGGTGGAGGCTGACAGCTCACGACCCCCCACATAGTAACCTCACGACCCCCTGAGGAGTCCCGACCCCCAGTTTGAGAACCCCTGCTTTAAATGCTTAAGGTAGATCCATATTCTCTACAGTCACTATGTAAGGAGAATTTTGCCTAGTTTTCTCTGATTTGAATTTCTGAAATGTTGGCTTTCCCTCTTCCTCCTCCTTTGTTCATAGAACCATAGAATATTAGGGTTGGAAGAGACCTCAGGAGGTCATCTAGTCCAATCCCCTGCTCAAAGCAGGACCAACACCAACTAAATCATCCCAGCCAGGGCTTTGTCAAGCCTAACCTTAAAAACATCTAAGGATGGAGATTCCACTACCTCCCTAGGGAACCCATTCCAGTGCTTCACCACCCTCCTAGTGAAATAGTGTTTCCTAATATCCAACCTAGACCTCCCCCACTGCAACTTGAGACCATTGCTCCTTGTTCTGTCATCTGCCACCACTGAGAACAGCCAAGCTCCATCCTCTTTGGAACCCCCCTTCAGGTAGTTGAAGGCTGCTATCAAATCCCCCCTCACTCTTCTCTTCTGCAGACTAAATAAGCCCAGTTCCCTCAGCCTCTCCTCGTAAGTCATGTGCTCCAGCCCCCTGATCATTTTTGTTGCCCTCCGCTGGACTGTCTCCAATTTGTCCTCATCCCTTCTGTAGTGGGGGGACCAAAACTGGATACAATACTCCAAATGTGGCCTCACCAGTGCTGAATAGAGGGGAATAATCACTTCCCTCGATCTGCTGGCAATGCTCCTACTAATACAGCCCAATATGCCGTTGGCCTTCTTGGCATCAAGGGCACACTGCTGACTCATATCCAGCTTCTCATCCACTGTAATCCCCAGGTCCTTTTCTGCAGAACAGCCTGTAGCAGTGCATTCTTCCTTCCTAAGTGCAGGACTCTGCACTTGTCCTTGTTGAACCTCATCAGATTTCTTTTGGCCCAATCCTCCAATTTGTCTAGGTCACTCTGGACCCTATCCCTACTCTCCAGCATATCTACCTCTTCCCCCCAGCTTAGTGTCATCTGCGAACTTGCTGAGGGTGCAGTTCATACCATCATCCAGATCATTCATTGTTCTCATTTTCTACTTGTAGAGGTATTGTCATTCCCTGCACTGCAACATTTCCTCTAGTCACAGGAATCTTTCTTTTAAAAAATAGTTGTGTTGCTGCAGAGACAAGATACATAAAATAACTTTTGAATCCTCCCTCAACCTGTTTGCATTGCCTGGGCTGAAACATCATGAATAACTGATATATTGATGAATACTTTCATGTTCAGTGTTTGAGCTGTAGTGAGTTACATATTATGTGGTAGAATTCTCCTCTCAGATATCATTGACTGATAGAAAATCCACATGCGTAGGGACAGCAGAAACTCAAAGATGAGCCATGTGCCTCTAGGAAGAGAAGTTTGTCCTTCGTCTACTGCTCAGCTTTCTCGGCCTTAAGAAGGTGAGTATAGTAGTTGCTTCCAATTATGTTAAAATAAAGAGCCGTCTACGTCTTTAAACAATGTTAGACGTCTTCCCCTTCTGAACTGAAGTGTTCACCATGTAGTGAAGTGTTCTGAATGGGAGCTGTGCTCTTCTGAAAATCTGGCCCCAGTTGTGGGTGCTGAGCATGCTTTAAAGTCTCTGGCCTTTTCACTTCAGGGAAGCTCTTGTAGCTCATCCTTTAAGGTATCTGAGGCTTAAAATTTACTGCTCAATTCCTGCCCATTCCCCAAAATAAAATAGAGACAGGCTTGATTCTGATTGTGACTGTTACACAGCAGTTTATTTGTATAGCAGTTTAAAGATATATAGTCACTCCTTCTGGAGTCACTCTGCTGTCTCTGTGGTTCAAATTATGCCGTGATTGATGTTTGGAGCGTGGATTAAATACCTCTATTCATCATGGAATTTCCCTTACCAAAGTTATATATTTGGAGTGAGCAAGCAGAGCTTTAATTTTCTAGGTAATGCTGCTAATAGAGGGATCAGTATTTTTCCATTCAGGAGCAAATAAAGGAACAGCTCATTTTAAAATTTTACCTATCAGGCTCTTGTAACTTACTTACCATTATGCTCTTGCACTTGGGATTTCTCACATGCTCTTTTCCTTCATAGGACATGAGCATGGTCTGCTTTTCAACAACAACAATTTTCAAAGTCACAGCAAATTGGATTAAACATTGCTAGCCCTGCTCTGAGTCAGGGTTCCCAGATAGTTCTGCTTCAACACTCAGCTCCCCACAGAGAAGACCCATCTGACAAACCTTACTAAGTCTGGCCTGCTGGGACTCCACTGGTGAACTGCAGTAGGGGAGCAGGATGAGTAGAGACACAGAAAAGTCTGGTGTGACTGGTGCTAGAGTGTAGCTAGGGAGGCAGCAGACCTAGGGAGCAGGGCTTCTGTCTGTCCAATTTGCCTCTCCAGTAACACTCCATACACTTCCCAAGCCCAGCTTCCTTTTCTCCCATCACCTTGTCTACTCCACATCCCTGACCCATTTCATGTTTACTGTTTCTCTTTATTTATGTTTTTACTAGGGCTGTCAATTAATCGCAGTTAACTCATGTGATTAACTCAAATTAATCGCGATTAATCACAGTTTTAATCACACTGTTAAACACTAGAATAGCAATTGAAATTTATTAAATATTTTGGATGGTTTTTCTACATTTTCATATATATTGTATTCTGTGTTGTAATTGAAATCCGATTGCAAATATTTATAATATGCACTGTAAAAATAAAATTATTGTTCAATTCACCTCATACAAGTACTGTAGTGCAATCTCTTTGTCGTGAAAGTGCAGCTTACAAATGTAGATATTTTTGTGTGTGTGTGACAGACATAACTGCACTCAAAACCAAAACAATATAAAACTTTAGAGAGTGCTAGTCCACTCAGTCCTACTTCTTGTTCGGCTAATTGCTAAGACCACCAAGTTTGTTTACATTTACAGGAGATGCTGCTGCCTGCTTCTTATTTATAATGTCATCTGAAAGTGAGAACAAGCGTTCGCATGGCACTTTTGTAGTTGCAAGGTATTTATGTGCCAGATATGCTAAACATTCGTATGCTCCTTCATGCTTCTGCCACCATTCCAGAGGATATGTTTCCATGCTGATGATGCTCATTAAAAAATAATGCGTTAATTAAATTTGTGACTGAACTCTTTGTGGGATAATTATATGTCTCCTACTCTGTTTTACCCACATTCTGCCCCATATTTCATGTTATAGCAGTCTCGGATGATGACCCAGTTTTAAGAACACTTTCACAGCAGATTTGACAAAATGCAAAGAAGATACCAATGTGAGATTTCTAAAAAATAGCTACAGTACTTGACCCAAGGTTTAAGAATCAGAATGGCCTTTCAAAATCTGAGAGGGACGAGGTATGGAGCGTGCTTTCAGAAGTCTTAAAAGAGCAACACTCTGATGTGGAAACTACAGAATCC